CAAAAGTAAAGTGATCCCTGAAAAGATATTTACACAATTGGCATATGCATGGCCAATACACAAGTTCAGTGAACACTAAATTCACCAAAAATAAAAGCTCAAAAATTTAAAAGTTTTATGAATTTCCTAATAATGGAAAACTCTTTCCTAATCTTTCCAGTTTTCTTAAAAAAAATGGATGGTGAACTGTCTAGTGTTCTTAAAAGTCTATTTTATTCCATTCACTTGACAGATATTCACTCAGGCATAAGGATATGCTGTAAACAAAGAAAAAAGAAAGATCCTTCTATTTTCTTAAAACAAAACCAAAACCAACCTACCTACAAGAAAAAATAATAAATAAAATCAACATTTTTAAAGACACAAAAGAACAGATGATTCTGACAGAACTGAGTACCTCGAGAGATTCACGGTATTGGTCCGGAATGTAGGTTTGCTTTTTTTTATTTGCCCAGAACAACATAGGTTATACTGACATTTGCTCCACAAGCAATCTTATTCGTGAATCTGAAGAAATAAATTCCAGACCATGTGAAGCAGAAAATATTATTGAAAAGTGGAATGTGAAGAGACTTAATACTGATGTCAGTATTAAAATGTTAATCACAAATACATTTGAACTAAAGCATTAGCAACCGAATTAATAGCAGACATTTCACAGGCCAGTACGAACTGGAAACAAAAGGACAGGGAAGGAAAGGAAGTAACTCCAAGGGATGTTAAATAATATCTTCATTCTAGCTACACCTTCAAGAAATATTATTTGATTTGAAAATATTAAGATCTAATCTTGAAAAATTGTCTAGGTTTGGCACTTGGTATACTACTAAAACCCATAAGGTTGATTAGAAACTTCTGCATAGCAAGAAGACTGAAACACCACTACTTTAATTTGATTCTTCTATCTCTGATTTAATGAAAAACGTGGTTGCTGGTCTCTGGCATCTGCAGCACTTCTCTTCCACTGCAGATGCCATAAAGTCCTGCAAAGCAGTGGAAAGTGTAGGTTTGCAATACAGTTGGGCATTAAGTAACATGGTTTTAATATTAACATGGCAGTTATAGCAAAAATCTCTGACCATTATGGCAAAAGTGTCAGGCAGAAGCAAAGCAACCACTCAGAGCTCCAGTAGACAGTGGAATTGGTAAAGATTGCTGAAATAAATGTCAGAAGATCCCTCTGAATATTAATGTTAATTATGTAGGTTCATAGTCCTTTTTTTTATTTCCCATAGATCTGTCATTTCTCAGTTATGTAGTTTATACAATGAAACAGACAAGCAAGCAGTGAATGTATGCCAGTGCACAAAGTAAATTTGTGACTAAGGCCTTTTGCTAATAACAACTATTGACCAGAAATACTTGTGATTCTACCCCATTTGTGTCTATTCTGTCTAGCAGAGATGTCAGTCACCTGAATAGTCTCAGTACAGCTTTTGGCTCCGCTGTTTGTCCATTAGATGCTCACCATACAGCACGAGTAACCATTTCAGCAGTTCTGTGGCAATTACCAGATCAACATTAGCAATAAAGCATCTTCAGGTAGAAGCCAATGCTTCTGACAGGAACATATTTGATCTAGACCCATGTAAGTGCCATGGCGAGAGTTCTGCTGGCTCAGACTTTGGAGAGCTAAGTCAGCTTTGCCTTTCTAACTCGCCCAACTTGTCTGCCAAGCAGTTTCTGTGGAATATCCATGCCTCTGTGGGGGCACTAATTCCTCTTCACAGGCTATTGTTAAGAAAAAGGGAATCCAGCTCTGCAGTGGTGGTCCTAGATCTCTGACCCAGTGATTTACAATATCGACATTTCCAATTGTTTTGTGACAGTATTTTGTCCTATTACTGCTGGCAAACATATTTAATTTTCTTTTATGACTACTGACAGGTTTATTCCATTGCAGTCAGACAAAGCTGGTCTGAAAGAAAATCTACAGTGATTTCTATTTATGATGCACAAGTACATCCCAAAAGTGGAGAAGAAAAGCTAGTCTCTTTGGAGAAATATCTCGAGGTTTAGGGTACCACTTTGGCAAAACCCACAATAATAAGATTTGGAAGGGAAGGGAATAATTTATTCTCACGGATTTTCTTAAATTGCTTACTATTGAATGCTTCAGTGTGTGCAGAGTTAGTCTCATAAATCTCATCTAGGATAATGGAAGATCATTACCTCAATAGTTCCCACTCAGGGAAGCATGTCCTGACACAGTAATACAGACACATACTAGATAAAGCCAATATTTTCAGGCTCCCTGAAAAAAAGAAAACTTGCGCTTAGCAAATGGAAAAAAACACTAAATCAGGAAGCATAAAAAGCATGCTAATTCTGGAGCATAAACATGAACGCTAAACACAATAAAAGCAGACACAGACCCCTAATGTAACATTGAAATGCCAAGCTGCATCCTATCTTACATATACCATCTGCCTGAAATCAGGCAGACTTGGCTTCCAGTACATGAGTGGAGGGAGATCCTTCCGCTGAGCAGGTGAGACTTTCTAAACAAGAGACCTGGTCTGCATAATCTTCAAGTTTCCATTCCAAATCTGAAAGTTTGCTCCGTGGAAGTTGTCCAGCTGTAGTTGTTCCCTAGTCACTGCACAAGGTCTCACAGACTCCTTATCTTTTGCCCCTGTTGGCTGGACTCTGCTCACTAAACCATGTGGAATGCTATCATTGGTTTGATTTTAAGTTGTAACAGCTTTTTTCAACCATTCTTCACCTTCTGATGCTATGGAGAAAGTGATAATCTCAGTAGGTTTTTCAGTAGGTAAGTAAAATCTCCTTGATTTTCATGGACATAAGCAGTCTTTTCATAGCAACTTCTGACTGACTACCATATTTTCAGAGGAAGTACTGCTTGCTGTGGCCTTGGAGATAAAAAAATGTCCAATTCCCAGATGATCCCAGATTTAAGACCTTTTCACCCTTATTGCCATCACCCTACAGGCTTTTGCCCCAGTTCTATCTGTCTCTCACCATGTGGAATGGAGATGGAGGTGAGTTGACAGCATAATTCTGATGCTGCCCTAAAACATGTACTAAGTGCCCATTCTGGAAATTAGTAAAAATATTGTCTGCAAATTCACGTCATAGTTACTGCATATTTGGGTTTTTTTTTGTAGAAAACCGCCAAGACTAATTCTAAGTGATAAAATGCAAACATATGTAATCTTGGGATTTACTAGGAGTGTTCAAAACCAGCCTTCACACAAGCTCTCTGAAACACTGTAAATTCACACTCCTACATAATCTGCACTAACTTCACTTGTTAGTAAGTTTGGGGAGGGAGTCACTGGAGAGTCATTCTGTACACCTCCTGCCTGGGTAGGGAACCTGCCTCAGCAGTACCTTCCCTCTCTGTGTATGCCTATGTACAGATCAAAATGGATGTCTACTGCAGCTTATTCATTGCCCAAATAATTTCTTTCAAAAAACATCTGTTAAAGCATACAGGAGGAAGCAAGAAGGCCTGATTTTTTAACAGCAACAGTAACAACACAGCTAACCTGCCCTTCTAGGTAAATTAATTTAGAGAATTACAGAACAGTGTGCAGCATTGCACCCTGACTACTGGTTGGGAATTTTAAAGTGGAATGAATCTCTCTTCTCTCTTTTTAAAATTGTCTGAATCTTTTCATCATTTGATTATCTATCTCAGTAATAAGTGAACTTAATACACCATTTGCCATCAGAACAGGATTTTAAATGTTTCCTTTAAACTCATCTGCTCTGTGATCTTTTAGTTATATTGATTTCAGCTTCGAAGAAATTGACATCAGAAAGAATACTTAGAGCAGGTAAGTGGTTTTCTTCCTAGTCCTGCTGCCTATCAACAAGACAAGACAGCACTAGCAGTTGGAAACAACCAGCTCTGAGTATGACTTACTGAGAAGCCATTCTTTGAAGGACAAAAAAGCGTTAAGGAAGAAGCACACATGGAAAAGTATTTCTGCACACCAGAAATCCCCACCTGAACTCAGTGACTCACACCTACCAGGCTGTGATGCAGTACAGCTGGCTCACTGGGCTTGTTCCTCAAAGCCCAGAGAAGCATAGAGAAGCTTCCCCAGTGATGTAGGGGGTAGACAGAAACACACACGCTCAACACCTGTATCCACCCAAACAACAGAAAAAACCCACAGAAAATATTACCATCAAGATAAAATAAATTTTTTTTTAAAAAACCAACAACTTCTGCCATAATTTCAGGGGTAAATTAACTGTCTAACCTTAGCTTAGCTGAAGTGACCAAAAGCAGAAATAAAAGTTTTACAGAAAACACAAGCTTTCAATAATGTTCTCTACAGGGGCAATTTTCTGGGGATAACTGAAGCATATCACAGGCCTGAAGCAGCTTGGGCTGAGTTCCTCACATCTCCAGTAGGGCACATGTGTGTGGGAGTGAATCCAGAGCTAAATGTTTGCTTCCAACATTCACAGTAACAGTTTAAGGAAGACGGTACCCTTCACCATCCTATTTCCAACCATTTCTTTTTTCTTCCCTGCCAATTATGGACATATTTCTTGAAATACAGGCTTGTGGGGTCTTGCAATGCACAAAAAGTTCTAAAAAGATTTGTTGTTTTCTAATTTCTGTTCAGTGCTCAGTTTCCAACAAATGAAGAATATTTTCTGATTGCAGATGATGTCAGGATTTTTTCCTCATCCTAGACTAATTTGGCAAAACAATGATTCTGCTTGATTTTTAACTACTGCTATGTCATTCTCAAATGACAATTTGTTCTCAGTCTTTGAGGTCAGTGCACATTTAGTTGCCTTATGTCTATGATGCTCATGCTCCCACTTTGAGCACTTGAAATATGTCAAGATGATGACATGACATAAAATTTTATTCCTATATTCTCTTTCATGAAAGTTCAGAGCTTGAGGTGGGACAGGAAGAAAGGGAAGAAACAAAAGAAAGTAGGCAGACAGTAGGAAGTGTTCCTATTACTTGGTGACTTGAGAAGCTACCTTAAATGCCAGTGACAAAGTTTGTCCTCTACTGAAACAGAGCAAATCAAGAACCTTCTCCTGGGGGTAAGACTTCAAAAGGTATTTTTCATTTTATGGTTTAGATATTTTCTCTGCAGTTACACACTGAGCTATCTTTTCATTTTCCACACTTGCAAGAGTGACTAGAGAAAATATCTAGGGATTTTCTAACATGATTTAGAATCAGGTGGGTCTGATGTGATTTACTGTGCAAACCCTAAAGATATGACTCTGCATTTTTGTTTAGTGAAGTCATAAGATGTTGATTCACATCCTGTTTTCTCAACAAATTCTACATTTTTTTATATTAAGATGAGCCCAAAGATTATTAAAACCTTCATCTCCATATGGAAACTGTTTCTATGGCAGTGTATTTTTAAATTGTGAACATTAAAGTAATAAAAAACAATCTCATAATGACATGGCATTCAAGTGTGGTTTTATCGGTAGAGCTGAGTAGCCTGTAGTTCTTTCTTCTTCCATCCTTAAAAGCCTGCCAATATGGCAAACTCAACACACTGTCACAGTACACAGCAACAGCCTACGCTCACTCATCCCTTGCTATCTAGACAGTGGCTTTAACCAGTCAAACCCAAGTAACTGCCAAGCTCAGGAGTGCCTAACAACATCATTTTTCAGTGTTAACCTGAGGCAAAAAACCAAACAAACAGAGAAACAGAAAACCATGCTAATTTATTCCAGAAGGATTCCAGACAGCAAGCTGCATCTAATCAAGATGAGTCCAGTTAAAGCCTGGCAATTACAGTCTGTGAACTGATTGAGGCTGAGTCGAAAGTTTACATATAGCTGGAAAAACAGCCATGACCACCTTTGTACCAACAATCAGTACTGTGCTCCAGAGCATGGGAAGGAAAGGCATTAGCCAAATTTGTTGAGATACAGTTAAGTACCACAATGAGCATTTTCACAAGAAAACCAAATTATAAAATAAATTAAAAATAATAAAAAAGCTGAATGCTAAACAAAATTATGTACCAATGAAACCCAGAATACAAAGGGCATGCCTTGTAAATAAGAACAGATGAAAAAAAAATCAATGAATTAAAACTCAGGTGCAGGGTGTTTCAGCCTACTTGACAGGCAAAGACATAAACATAGTCTGTACTGTGTCCAAGCCTCTCATGGGTCTGTTATTTTACTCTGACACTAGGAGGATGAACTCACCTTAGGAAGAAAGTCTGCCATCAGAGATGCTGCTCCAGACACAATACTCTGATGCTTCAGTGACTAGTATTTTCCTTCTTCCTCAGCATCTTTTTCCCCTTCTTTACACAGAGAGTCTACCTTGATAAGACAACTGGCCAAAACCAGTGTCTTAAATGGCTTGATGTTTTTGCCCTTCCACACGTACCCCCTCCATTTTCTTCCTTTTGTTTCTGGTCTTATTTCATCTTCAAGGAAGTAAGCTTAGATAATCTGCAACAGCAGTCTCAATCCATCTTAACTAGTTGTTCCTCTTTTTACCTTTCAAATGTTATTTTAATTTGCAAAAATATTTGACAAGCTCATTAAAAAGCCTCCAAAACAAAGCTCTACAACTGAAGGAAAAGTGTTTAAGAGATGTTAAAAATCAAAATGTCATTTCATATGACACATTTGAAACACTGAAGCCATTTTTCCTTCCTGTATTTTAGGTAAAAGACTTTAAACATTTGTATAGGAAGCTTTATGCACTGAGATTACACTGGGTAAGGTCTCTATACTTTTATTGTCATGCAACAATTTACCATTGGCCAATGACAAAATTTTGTTTATTGCCTTTAAATGCGTGCCAATTTACTCTATTTGAGTTAACAACTAAAAAGTATTAATTCCTTCTTCTATCAAATTGGAGAAAATACACAGAAAAAAGTCTTTACTTGTTTTAATTGAATTAAATTGGTCAAAATTTTATGTTTCAAATGCATTTATACATACAAGTATGAATAAAAGTTTTGGTACCTTGCAAGTTCAGTAAATCAGTTCTCAGGCAAAATGTCTCATCTGAAAAACTAATTTATACAGATATGTGTGATAGAATTAAACATTTACAGCTGCTGGGGCACTTTTCATCAGTATGTAGTGATGAATGGCACATTTATATTCATGCCATATGTTTCTACATATGTCATAGTAAAAAGCACTCCAGTGACCCACTATTTACGGAAAGAAGACAGAAAAATCACAGGATACGACAGTTATGGTTGTTTAATGTCTACTCACAAAGTCATTGCAGTAATTATTACATGTGCCACTTCTGTTAAAAAAGTGGAGAGAGAAAGGAGGAAGGGAGAGAGTGGGTAGAGAAGCCATGCCATACATTTGACCTTAATGAGGCAGCTATGAATATGCATAATGATTTCTCAAAGTGTTTTAAGATGTGCAGCTTTAGGCAAAAGAACTGTACTAAAAAGGCGATAGGGTAAGTACCACTCAAATGGAGCCATTATGCTTGTAGCTATTTGGATCCTGAAATGAGATAAAAGCCACATCACAGAGGTATAATGACTCCAGGACCAATAGAAAGAATTAACTGACACTTCTGGTAAAACAGATTATGAAACCTTTCAGTTCTGATTTGCGTCAGTGGTCTAAATTATGAAGCAGAAGGAACAGCAGAAAGACTACAATTTCCCTATGCTCAGCATAAAGCCTCAAGGATCTACAGAAGCACTGGTCTGCCTCTCCCACTGATGTCTCATACAGCCATTAGGATGAAAAACTAAGTACTTACGGTCCCTGTGCATTGTTCCTCTGCTTATTCCCCACTCTCCACTCTGAAAATTCTTGCAGGACAAATGCACAAAATAAGATCAGGGTAAACTTACTGCTCTGACACCTTTTCCCCATCCTCCTTGGGCTGAGGGGAAAAAAAAGAAAGACACAAAAAATAGGGAGTAATATTAAATTATTTCTTGTGTCTTTCTCCATGGGACTGAAACAAGAACTGCCAGAGGAAACTGAATCAAGCCTAGAGATTCAGAAATACAAAATATCACGCAGAGCATGAGGTGAAGCTCTAATATACTCAGAGTTTGCATCTTCCAACAAATATCTTAAAAGAGCAGGTCTTTCCACTGCAGCTACTGTTCTAATGACAATTAAAGAGAAAACAGGATAGGCCTTAAATTGGATACTGAGATAAGAACTCTCCATCTTTGGTGAAACCTGCTTGAACACAGAGTCCAAATTTGCATTGTGGACCTGCCTCTGAAAGAAGGTAAGATCTTGGCCTTAAGCTGACAGAGCTTTGGATGAGTTCCCTGTTGGCCTAAGATCACAAGCTGGGCTAAGCTGAAATGCATTCTAACGGTTAAACTTCAAGGAGTATTTTTCCATAAGTGCATTAATTTGAAAAGTTCCAACTTTCCAACTCTAAGCATTTTCAATACTGTTTTTCATAAATGGAGAAAAAAGAAGAGCTTCCTAAAATGCACATAGCTCCTATTGATAAGTATTTGGAACATCTATTGCAATGCCCTAGATTTTGAAAAGCTGTGTTATTGCAGCAGGAACAGATACTTAAATGTGGTATCCCCAACATTTTAATTCCACTATGAGGACATAAAAATGTAAGTGCTTGGTTCCTCTTCATTATCAAAACACAGCACTGTGAATGCAAGGTTTATTTGAAAAAGACAAGGACAAGAGAATGGGGAGGCTCTGGGATTTCTTTGACGATAGAGAGTTGTTTGTAGAGACCATGAATTGCTGTGGGGAGCACACACACCTATGTATTCCTATGACTTTGACTGCAGTATTGAATTGCCAGGACATCTTAGAAACCAGAATAATTTTTAGTTACCACAGCAACATCTATGAAGGGCAGGACTCACCATGACATTTGCCAGTTTACTAAATTAAGACACACTAAAGATGGACATGGATTATGCCCAGAAATATGCCCAGACAGCTGTCTACTGCACCATAATTCTCTCTGCATTTTTTTTTAAATACTTTCTTGTCACATTTAGGAACCCTAACACTTTCTGACTATAGAATCTGTAGGTGAAAAGCTGGCATGATGAAATAAGGAAATTTGTGATTCAGTATTTGTGATACAGTACCTTAAAGGGCTAAAGATGCAAATTTAAATATACAGTTTAAGTGGCTTTTCAGAATACTGCCCCTGCCCCTGAATGTTTATACTCAAGTGAGAATGCAGCTTACTCTCCAACATTTTGCACCAGTAAAACTATACTACAGTAAGTGTGAAAGCAGTACATAACTAAGCCACTTTGTTTTAGTGGCTACTAAAATAGTAGCTTTTTAGCTAGCTTTGATACTAGCTTTGCTTCTAACCCTAACCTTGTGGACTTGTTTTCCCTAGGAACCAAATAAGCAAGTTACATTTTACATTACCTTTTTATTCACTAAGATGTTCTTACTTCCTAGTTCCACCTGAATGAAACAGGGAATATTTAAAATGTCTATTAGCATCTTGAGTAGTAATTTAATATAGAGATGTTTGTTTAATAAAATGGTTTAATAGGAACATTTAGTTTTGACTTTCAGGCTAGAGAGGGAAATACAGTTAAAGACATCTCTACAAAAATAAAATATCACTACTCTGACATGTGAAGGAGAGGTTTTTTTCATTTAGTATATTCCACATACCATTCAGTATAGCTAGATCTGTAGGTTACTTAGTTTCATGTTCACAAAAAACGTTAATTATAATTCAGCTAGTTTAAGTCCCGTTTCAAATATACTGCTAGTAATACCATAAACCTGCATAATTTTGATATTAAAATTATTTGAGAATCCTGCTCTTATTCAAATATGCTATAGTGCCTTTTGTTATATGACAAGATATGCATCATTGCTACAGCATGCTACAGAAATATGTTATTGATGAAGCAAAGTAAAACCCTCAAGTAACCTCATTTTGTCGCTTCTCTTGTATGTATATTATTAATAATGCTCTTAATGATTCAGAAAAAGATTTAGGTGTTGTGAATTTTCTCCTAAAAATGTTGCTCTTTACCCTCCACAGTCTTCAGTCTTTAAGATGACCACTAACAAAAAGTAAATGAAAGCTGTAACAGCTGCAATGTATAGGTACTACAAAGTATGTATATAGGAGATGTGCTTTACTAAGCTATCTGAGAGCATTGTCAGAGTGGCCTTCCAGTTTGTAGAAGCAGAGATTAAAATTACTTCGCATCAATTTTCACATAATTCTTGCAGTCATTTGCATTTTAATGAAGAAATAGTTCTGTTGGGTTCTTATTTCTAAAATTTAAAGCGTTTCATGGATATTAGTGCAAAATGCCTTTTTCTTGTAGCAAAGAGTTGCTATCAGAGTGATTCAGCAGAAAACTGCATTTTTCCACAGCATGCTTCATATCCAAATGAAAGGAACGAGCACTAAACAATCTATCCTAGTGTTCATGATCTCCTTGCACTGGTTAGGAAAAGGTCACACTTAAGTACTCTAGAAATTGTTTTGTAGACAAGAAACGTTAGTAAAATGAAATGGTTACTATTACTTTTCTTATCTGTTTTTTCCCCAGTGTTGGACAAGCTACTAGGACTTTCTGCTGTATATTTATATTTACCATGAATAAGCAATACTGTGGTACTGGATAGGTGTACAGTTTTGTGCCTGACACCACTACGGTAGTATAGTTTTAATTTACAAATTTACCCTTGAAGAGTTCCCAAAAGCTATAGCTAGTGCTGAACACGGTGGTTCTTCTGAATAGCAGAAATCACTATAATATATCAGCAATTCTTGGCGTTGGTCCCTACAATTCCTGCCTGATTAGTTACTGATATAGTTCAAGGTGCTAGTTATGATTTTAAAAACCCTAAATGGGTCAGGATCTGCTTATCTGAAAGACTGCCTTTACACCTGTGTATCAGAAGAGATTGGCTGGCCTGTCTCTCCAGCCCAAGGACTGATGGCACTCCCAGAGCTCAGATCAGGCTCCTTTTTAGGTATACATTTATTCGACAAATGCAGACATTAATGGAAATGTGAACCAATGGATTTCTCGTGTTCTCTGACAGGCTGCCGACGTGTGAATACTTGATCTAGGGTCTTCTGCATGTGCCATGCATCCCCCTTCAAGTCATCTTCCCCCTTCCGCCCCCCCCACCAGCTTCTCCAATCCAAGTTGGATCAAACCCACCCCACAGGTCCAGGCATGTACAGGCTTCTGCCTCCAGGAAAAGCTACATGAGCTTCAGCAACTGTGATCTCTAAAGAGGCAGAGTTACTGTTTCAGCTTACGATAGCACCTTCACGTTCATGTTGCTGATGCTGAAGTCTGAGGACTCAGACATATGCCAGATTTCCAATGTAAACAGACTGAAATTTAAACTTATTATGTAGACATTTGAGGGAAGTCAGGGGACATGTCTCTTGTACCACCTACCCAATATTTCATATCAGGAAAAAGTGCTGAGGCAATTGTCATGCATTAACAGACCAACGAAATAATATACTCCTGGTGCAGAAAATTGCCCCCTTTTCCTTTTTTCATTAACATATTTTTCTGCCTCAGCATGGCAACGCAGATGACTAAGACAGGATATCTTCCATGAGACTGCCCCGGTGGGAAATTACCCATGCAAAGCTGTTAGAATCAGGGAAAAAAACATGCAACAAAACCAAAAGAAGTTAATGCAGCTATATATATTGTCTCAGAAGTTAAACAAGATATGTCCTTTTAACACCAGTTAAAAACACAAAAAAGGTAAAAATTAAACTCAAATATTTTGTTTCTCTTGTAATTAATTTCTCTTCCCTGCCTATGGTGGTATGTGAAAGACAGCAATACCTGGACAGAAATAAAAGTCTGACATTTCTAAAAACCTGCCTTCTACAGTACCCCATGAACCACAGACATTACTGAATTACAAATATGTTGATATGCAATAGCTTTGGTAAATAGTCACATATATATATATATATATATGCATATATATATATATTTTAATGATGCACCACTGAGGATACTAGGGCCTGTTAAGCCTAATTAATAGCTGTGATTCAAAAAGCTTATGAAATGGATTAACTACTGCCTTGCTCAGACTATACTGAATGGTGACTACAGATCTGATGACCCCTCTCATGAAAAGCTCTTAGCAATTATTTTTCTTTTGCCAAGAAATATGAATTGCGAACAGGCTCCTTCTCCCAACTACATTAAAAGAATAAATTGAATTAGCAAATACAATGCAGTTACCTGTCATGTTGCAGTAAACTTTCAAAGGTCCCAGTGCCCCACTGCCATCTGGATCTATCCAGTAGTAATTTGAAGTTTTGCCCAAGTGTTTGTATGCTTCACAAGAGAGTTCATAAATGGCTGGAATGAAATAAAACACAGCAGTAAGGATCTTCATATCCTGGAGCAAAACATCCATAATGACAATAAATTGACTTTATTTATATATCAAGAACTATACTTTCGAGATTAAAGTAATGTCACTAACAGTCACAGAAAACAAAGCATCTTTCCAAAAGATATAGAAATGATTAAAAGCTTGAGGCACACAATTTAATTTTTTGGCATGTGAGAGAAAGAATAGGAAGAGAATTCCAACAACTTGGGGGGGGGAGGGGGGGAGGAGGGAAGGAGGAACAACCACATTTTTTCAAGAGTATCTTTAAACCATTTTTTAAAATACTTTGGTTCAGAAATTTGTTTATATACTGGTTTAAGTTTAACATCATAAATGGAGACACTTCCACTGATCCAACATAATTTTCCCTTTAGTTTTCTTTGAAGAGATACACAAAAAAGCTTATGAGTTTTCCTTCTGTAAATTTTAGAATTTTTGAGGTTTTATTACAACTCAGAATAACACTGTGTTTCAAACTTGTGAAATTTCTTGCTACATGCAATACCTGTCTCTACACAGCTCTGCAGTTACTCTATTACATATCTACACAACCAATACTCTGTTCCAGCAAGGTCTAAAGTTTCACAATATTTACTGGATGAAGTTTAATTGATGTAGCAGAGGTTTTTGTTTCAATTATTCCTTGACCTCTCTATACTGCTTTCTATTTCAAGTTGTAAAACTGCTTGTCAAATTGGGTTATGATGAATAGTTGAGACATAATGATAAGCATTGCAGATAGAAGCTTTTCTAGTAATTCCTGTATTTTCTTTGAAATGTATGACTATTACAAAGTTACGTGTATTATATATGAATGAATTAAATCATTTTATGCATAGATAAAGTAAAACTGGTAATGTTATAAATATATATATAATTGGTAAATTATATAAATATTTTTATATGCAATTTTTTAAAAAAGGAATGTGTAATGCTTCTTTGTTTTCCAAGGACCAGATGGTACAGCTTTTTCATTTGGAATCAATCAATCAGCTGCTAAAATGAAATGTTTAACCAGACTTCATATCCACTCTAAAAATTCATCTAATTTGTTGGCAATTCTTGCAAGCAATCTCCTTGCTAAGACTGGCTTTATTTCAAATGTCCATAAGGAAGAGCTGTTTTGCTGGGCTCTGATGATGAGTGACTGATCACACACACACATTTAAATGCCTCTAAGCAACTATCAAGATGCGGGAAGAAAAGCAGATTTTGATGTGGTCTGAATGCAAAGCTAGTCTGTTACCTATGTATAAAGAGAATCTCCTTGTTGGTGCTACAAGAGAAATAATTTCTTGGAAAATTTTATGTGTTTATTACAGCATCTAAAGTCAATTTTGTACAAGAATTAGACACTTTACTTAAATTGTGAAATATTCCAAAACATTTCCCCTTTCTCCAAAAAATTAAGGTCAACAGATTATTTTGTTATCAAGGAGACTCTGTGCCTATTTTCAGACATTTCATGCAGATTTCGTAAGCAATTCATCACCCATTTTCTTCACAAATTTCTCTAACTCTCTACATGCTACCTAAATGTAATCACAAAATAGCAACTGTGTTAGTGTATAATTGTTGTGATACCAAGTCACAAATTTTAACAGATACATTCCAGGTCAAGACAAAAAGATGACAAATGCTGCTTATAGTCTCCCAGAAGTTTGGTGTTTTCATTTTCTAAATGCTTTCAGAAAACCAAGGGAATTTTGTCTTTGTAGTATCCAGCTCTTTATGTAGGGCCATATGACATTCTTCTCTAAGTTTGCTCCTTTCAAGAAGACACACCAATCTTTGTACAGAGACACTAGTACATTTCAGCAAAAAATACTAGCAAGTGTTATATGGAAGACAAAACCAAGTTTCGTTGTTTAATTAGACACTCATTTATCCCTTCTGAATATTTTTATAGAAAATTAAAGGGTTTAGATTCAACACCCTTCCTTCTGTTCTTCTTTCTGGCAGAAATAGAAAGTGGTAGGTAGTCGCTAGTATTACAACACAGAACAGGCTGCTTTTGAATAAGCCGGCATTCGTTAAGCTTCAACACCGTGTTGAACACTAAACAATAGAAATTAAGATCTTTCTTCAAATAAAGACAAAAGAGTGGGATATTCTAAATAACTTCAATTTGTGAAAAGTGTTTTTATGAGTGCGTGATAGGTTTTTGGCAGGTTTTATCATATGTAGATGCATACTTAAAGACTATGGGAATAAACAAAAATGAAAGGGTAGGTTCTAGTGCAAGGAACAGTAATGTACAAATCACATAACAGGAATATAGAAACAAAATGAAGGGATAAGTGAAGTTGGTATACTGACAAAATAACTGGTAATTAAGATGCTATAGGAAACAGCAAACAATCATGTTCTGGCGTATGAAGACACTACATGACAGAAAGAGACTTTCATGTTGACTTCAGATGGCAATGCGTAGCCACTAACATAAACAGCAAAACAAAAGTGGCAAGCACCAGGAAGGGAAGGAAAACGTGAAGTGGAAAAGAGTAAGACATGACAGCAAAATGTCGAAGAAGTAGAAAATTATGTAGGAAGGAAGACAACAAAGAATCACTGATTATAATTTAGTACTTCTTTTAAATGGGTTTTTGACATGCTGCACAAAAAGATCAGTAGTGTTTAAGACAGAAGGAGAACAGGTAAAAATAGAAATTAAGAAACCTAGAGAATACCTAGAATAGATGAAAGGACAAACACTTAAGGAACATTGTTTTAGAAGTCACCCAAATACCTTAAAACACAGAAGAAAATGAAAACAGAATACAAGGAAGAGACCATGGCAGAATCAAAACAGCTTAAATTAGAAAATTGATAAAGGTTATAATAAAGAAGTAAAAAAATTAACAGAGCCAGGAAAGAACAAGTCAGCAAAATGCAAAATTTGGACATAAAGTCTACAGTGTTCACATGCGAATAAAGAGAAATGGTTGCATGTATATCTAATTACAAAGAGGCGGGGGGAGGTGGAGAGAGAGAGAAGGTTCTTTTAGTTGTGATTTCTTCTGGAAGATGGGGGTGGGTGAAGACACAAGGGCAATAGATTTCTGCTTTTCAAGACAGTAGAAGTAAAATGCCAAAGACATGTATTTGCTTTCTTGGTAGTTGGTCCAAACACATAATATATATACTCTTAAGGGACTTCACAATAGTATTAAACCTCAAGACCTTCCAAGTAAAAAGTAAAACTTGCAAATGCCCTGATTTTCCATATAAGCCATTTCTAGCATAGTACACGTAGCTTTGTTTGTTGGGGTTTTTTTTAAAATGCTACTTATATTCTTTCTGAGGAGAAGAGAGGGGGAAAAAACCACCCTACAAATAGCTTCCTCACACTTTACATGCTTTCATAGTGCATCAAAAAACTGTCTACAAGCAATAAGTGGTGAAAACCTGCTCAGAACAGTGATCCAAGGACCTAGAGACAGGTAAAAGTTATGTACAAGAAGAATCAAAAACAGAAAGAGAAGAGCACCAAAAAGATGCTGTAGTCTTTTTAAAGTTTAATCACCTGAATAATACAGATCAAACTGAGACCACACACATTTCTGTGTTTTTAGGATCTTCTGTCTCAAACATTTGAGGAAAAGCAAATGGTTCAGAAAAACAGTTTACAGAATAGCTTTTTCCAGTTCCAGACAGTTAGTTGAAAGTTGGAAAGAGCCAGCTTCTCTTAGATGTCAATGGCTCTTTACTGATTGAGGGAAGCAGATGTTCTCACTCCTGTTTTACTTTCTGACTGCGTAAAGATCAAGAGAGAATTATCCCACACAGCTGGCACAGCTGCTGGCTATCTCTAGAAAGCAGAAGAGCTGAATGACAAAAAGGATTTAGCAACTCTGTTACCCTACATGATGTTCCTATAGAGTTTCAGTAGCACCTTGGTGAACTACAGTTTCTGCATCACTATGTAAAAAGGCAGGTTTAATTTTAGGGCTGACAAATAGCCTCCTTTTGTAAGTACAAAGCTCATTATAAGTAGAAGATCTAGCGTGACAGTCTGTGCTATGTGACATAGTGAATGTGTTGCAATACGTTTTGTTTCTGTCAGTGAATATAGCTGCTGCAGGGGATAAACTCCTTTAAACTGCTGCTAATACAGAAGTAAATCTCAGCTTTACAGAGGCATAGGAAAGGTGTAAATTCACAGGAACTGATGGAATTAAGTTATAGTAAAAGTGACAGAAGTAGGCAGTGCATCAGATCCTCAAAGCTATGTCTCTCCATCACTTTCAACTTCCCAGAAAATTACTGAAAGTTAAATAGATTTTGAGGTTTCAACTCTTGAGCCCCATAAAAATGTCCGAAAGCATAAGCAGACAAGAAAGGGGGAAAAAAACCCCAAACTTACTCAAGAAATAGTTTCACACTGAAATGGTGTACCTGCAGTTTATTTTAAAAGAAAGGAACAAGTTTTATTTGTTGCTTTATTACAACATATATTCAGAATTGCAAAACTGAAAAAGTTAAAAAATAAATTTTCATATATAAACACACATACACCGTAAGCTCCTGCTCAGTCAGCTTAAATTTCTCTCTGTGCATACTACAACAAACCTATCCCCACTCTTATTCATTCTAATGATATATGGCAGAGAAACCATGTCTGATACAATTTTTTTAAATAGGTTAAGTGAACTAGAAGTCTCACCATCACTCAAAGCAAACTACATGTGAGAACAAAACCCTTTCTGAATTCCAGATCTGTATTCTGACAGTAAGAACACATGGAGTTGCTGGTTTGCTCTATTACTTCATGTATATTAAAATGTCTTTTAAAAACCCCACAAAACCCCAACATGATACAACACTACTTCAATGTTCTTGTCATTCTGTGGGACTATTCCTGCAATGGTCAGAACAAAACCTTATGTCTGTCTGTTTTTTTTTTTAATTTGGATATAAAAATGCCATAGTTTGGAACTCAGCCTTATAATGCCTAAGAACA